AGAGCCAGACATGTACTCTTTCTAACACCGTTGGAATTTTCGGATTCCGATGTTCCAGTGAGGAGTTATCATGCCCGCCATCAAAAATAAGGACTTTTTTGATTACAAAAAACAACAACAAAACAACAAAATTTTTTTGTAAATTATTTTTCTTCTATTTTAAATCCTCAATTATATATGTGTAAAGTTACAAACCTTAACAAGCATTGGTATTGATTTACCAGCCCATTGCAAATCTTGAAAAAATAAAACCGAGAATGGGGGGGTTCCCTTAAAGGAAATTCTGCCCGCATGTATATATAGAGCAGTCAATGTGGGGTTACTTCAAAATGTTGATACCCCAAATTTCCCGGTAGAATTAAGATCCCCACAAAAAATAATGTTGGTGAAATCAAATTCGGGTCTTACTGTGGTGACATTTTTGAGTGGAAGTCTACGATATTTACTATAAAGTGAAAATTTGAATACTATACCTCAGAAAAATATGGATTTCCTCAGAAAAAATTGTATGTAAAAAACGGCTAAAGCCACATGGATCGTTTTTTTTTTATCAGCCATATTACTACTAGAAGAAGAGTATATCATTAGAATGTATATAATATTTAATAAAACTGAAATAAAATATTTTGGATTGCGCCTGTCCATAGGGGAAAATCTTAAGCCTGGCCGAAGACCGGCTCCTTAAAAACCTTTAATTTGATTCATAAGTTGATCTTAAAAAAAGTACTCGTTAAAAGTTTTAAAATGGTACCCATATTATGTTCCGACCTTTCAAGGCCCATATCTCGGGAAGTATGCATCTCCCCAACATAAAATATATATCACTGTAATCACCTCAAGGAGGACTACTACGGTAATATCAAAATGGTTACCCTAAACTTGATTTGTTTTAAAATGTTAAAATATTCTGAGAAGTGCTCAGAAAGTACATTTAAATCGTACATCCTGGAACTTAGGATCAAATGATCCTCCAACGGGATATTTCATCTAGACACATTCCAAAATATGTTGAGGTAATCTATCAATAATGTTATTACGTAGTTGCATTGTTCGTATTAACCTCAACATAGGATCAAACATTTATGTTAGTATTTGTTTGATTCGAAATTGTATTTTTAACACTTCTCAAGTAATGTTTTAACTTGCAGATATTGATGGTTATTAAAACATATTATTGAGAAATGTCAGAATAAACACAATCCCTGTCCATCTTTACAAAAAATAATATTAACGTCTGAAATTGGTTTTCATATCACTTGAACTTTTAGAATTCCATACCAACTAAGATGTGCTGGTGTTGATGAAAAAGCAGCACATGATCAATTATTCAAAACTTCAAATGATTAAATACATTTCATCCATACAGAAGAACATATACTTACCAAACCCTTGTTATCGAGGCTATTCAGTTCCTTCAATACAGATCTGTTGGCAAATAAAGGATTTACAGAGGAGGCATCATTGCCACCAGACGACGGAGAAGAAATACCGGCACCACCACTCACATTGAAATCATTTGCCGCGGAAAAACTCATTGCGTTTTTTGTTTTTGTTTGGGGTACTTTTTATATATGCAATATCCGTTGAATTCCAACACAAAAGTCTCTTTCGGATAGTATTTTTGTTATTCTTTAGACTAGCACTGAGATTATGCAAAATTAAATACAATTTAAGCGAAAAAATGGCAAAATATTGGCTTCCCCAAACAATTCCTTTGCTGTTAGATTTGAAAAAACAACAACTAGTTGAGAATATTCGCAAAGTACTCAAACACTCACACATACACACTGGCATAGAATCAGGCCTGACAACAGCTGGGAGAAAATAAATCAACGAAATGAAAAAATAACTTGACGATTACTAAGTTTGTTGTGTATACATCACGTATAGATGGCGCAGTAGAACATTGAGAAAATATATACAAAATAAATGTATTTATGTATGTATTTAATTATTTATTACACATTTGTAAATTAATATTAGTTTCAGCTTAATTAGGTACCATTATGTATGTATTTAATTATCTATTACTAATTTATAAATAGATATTATTTTGAGCTTAATTAAGTATCGTTTAATTCACATTTATTCCCATAAAAATATGTTGAATTTCATACAAACCACCAGCAGATATCTATTTGTGAGAGACAGAGGGTTTGGTTATACTTAACGAAAGAAAATGCATCTCTGCAAATGACATGTTGACATTTCGTGAATGTTTCGTTGAATAGTTCGTTGCAACAAAATTTTGCGGGAAATACTGCCAAGTGCATTAAGAATGTAAAAAACGCATCTTATGTGCTATATTTTTAACAAATAAAGAATAATTGTTATTACTAAAGTGTTGTGAAATATCGAATTTAATGAATTTGTAAAAAAATATGTTTGGAAATAACGAAAACACAAAGATATCCGCATGAATATGAAATCACTTGTAGAAATGTGCCGGTTAGTGAGTGTTCGCATAAGTGTTAGTGTTGTTTTTTTTTGTCAGAGAGATGATTATCAACGGGAGAATGACAGTACATTCCAATTAGACAAAATGGAAGAGAATATGGTGTATTCCTACAATAACCATAACGGTAAGTGTCAATTGTTGTTTGAACATTTTAAATGTATGTTATTAAAATATTTGAAGCGATTTAAATAAAAGAAAATAAAAAAAATAAATTTTATCTATTATTATTAAAGGAAAAAAAACTAATCTATTCTTTGACAATTTTTAATTTTCTGTGAATTGTGTATCAAATTGGATACCCATTAAAAAAAATACTCTTTGTGTCGAAGGTATTAAAAAGAGTGGACCAGTATAGCCCATCTTCAAATTTAACATAGGGTTGGGCTTAACTCTACTTTAGTAAACACGATCAGTTTTTTTGTCTAGGGGAAGGTATTTTTAACTTTATTCATACAAACTTTTAAAGGTTTCTATTGAATTTTGGGAGCTACAGTTAAAAAGCTGATTTTTATACCCTTCACCACACTGTGTGTACAATGTATTATGTATTTGTGCATATGTTTCTAACAGGCAAAAGGAAACGAGATAGACACAGGGTTCCTTTTGTGAATATGCATAGAACCAATTTCTGAGCAGATTGCATGTCCGTCCGTTCGTCTGTCCATGTTAAATTGTAAACAAAATACAGGTCGCATTTTTTATTCGAATTGGATGAAATTTGGCACAGCTATTTGTTTGGCCCAAGGACGAACCATATTGAAATGGGAAAAAATCGTTTCGATGTATATCCCATATATACTTTCGTCCGATTTAAGGTAAATGGTATATATATATATATCTTTCAATTTCCTCAATTTTTGGCATAGCTTACTAGATTAAGTCTAGAATAGTGTATCTTAAATTTCGTGAAAATTGGTTCAGATTTAGCTCTCATATATATTTTCGTCCGATTTTATGTAGATAGTGCACCAAAGTCCCTATATCCTTCGATTTGCACGAAATTTGGCATAGCGTACTGAATTGAGTCTAGAATATTGAGTGGTGAGTTTCGAGAATATCGGTTCAGATTTAGATATAGCTCCCATATATATTTTCGTCCGATTTAATATAATCGGTGCACCAAAGTCCTTATATATCCTTCGATTTTTACGAAATTTGGCATAGCGCACTGAATGAAGTCTACAACAATGTGTGTGGTTCAGATTTAAATATAGCACCCATATATATTTTCGCCCGATTTTATGTAAATGATGCACCAACGTCGGAATTTTGAAGACTTTCATAATAACAAAAAACACAATTTTTTTCTTTCTTCGCAAAAAATAACAATTTAAAATTTTTTTATTTATTTTTAATTAATTAACAATATTCGTCTAGGTATATTTTGTGTTTAAGTGTAATATACATTTGAATTTTTTTTGTAATTCAAAATAAGGATTTCATTATTTTAAACGAGCGTCTTTTTTTGGTTTAAGTTTTACTTTTGTTTTATTAACCATAGATAGTGGGTATGTATGTGTGTGTTTGTTGTATAAAGAATTGAACAAATATTCATGTTTTTTACATTGGTTTTTGTTTTTACAAATTAACTAAACTACTTAAAGTAAAGTATGTAATAATAAAGATAATGACAAACTAATATGGATGTTTTAAAGAAAAAATTTAAAACAGTAACATAAAATATTTTTAAAACAAATATCTAAAAAGTATTGGTTGAAAGTGTTCATGTTGTCGTTGCTGATTGAAAGTAACTTAACTGAAAAGAAAATCAAATATTTGGCTTCCCTAAAAATCAATGTTAGAAGTCTATACATTTTTGATTTTTTGTATATTTTCCTCTTGAATGACTGATGGATGATTTGAAAGTTTAAAAATTATTTGCATATTAATTGACAAAGCATTCTCTATAAGATTATAAGGATATTTAGCATAACTAAGTAGATTTTATGTTTTTTTTTATGGAATTTTAGGACGGTAGATTTTTTTTGAATTGTAATATATAAAGTAGTTTATATGGAATTTAGAATTGTTGAATAGACTAATTTTGAATTACAACTGAAAATATAGTAGTTGTGAACTGATATAAAGAAATTTTGAAATCCTGGTATCCTCATTTAATTCGTAGCAATTCAGAATATTGGAAGTTAATCTAATGGAACTTAAGGACATATTTATATGTATATAAATTTAAAAAGGAATTCAATATAAATAATTCCATTGTATTTCCCTATCACTACTAATTCCTCATTTCCCAAACAATTATGAAAAAATATTCTCTCTATTTCAGTTTTTTATAATTCCTATAGTTTGTGTTTTGTTTTTGAACTTCGTTGACTTTCATCATCATCATTTTCATTATCATCAGCTACCTTTTGATTTTTTAATTCTCTCTTCGTCTATAATTAGTAAAATGTGGATAGGGGGTAGGGAAGAAATTGCTTTTCATTTAGTTTAGACTTTTTTTTGGGATGAATTTCGAAGGTTGTCTTAATTTGTTGTGCGCTAGTTGTAGTTGGTTTTGTTCTTCTGGTTCTTCGTCACCTTCTAAATTCGAGTCTAAAACACTCGAGATTCCATAGAATTATGCTGGCGGTAAGCTTGTATTTGTCGTGATGCCATCCTCAAGACTCTTGGTCGTCCAAATACCAGGCATCATTGGTGGAGGTAGATTCGATTTATTTAATTTACTGCTAATACTACTAAATATGGGTCCCTGGGAGAAGGCTTTGTTATCGATGCCACCATCCAGCTGGGCATTGTTGAGCTGTGTGGCCGTGGCCATGTTATGCATGGCCTGTGATGATCTCTTCTTGGGTATTGTGCGTGGACTAGAGATTAGGGAACTGAGCAGGCCACCAACAATGGCCAATGAGGCAAAGGCTGTTTGGGGAATCAGCTGGCCAAAGACGACAGTGGATCCAATGAAGGGAGCCCCCAACAGCCAGAAACGGGCCCAGCAAATTGTGGAAAAGGCGCAGATTTTTTTCTTTTCATTGCTCACCAACTCCACGGTGCAGGTAGTCAATATGGCCAAGGTGCAGGATATTGCTATTTTCGATATCATGGCTGTTAGCATGAGTAAGGCGACGCGTGCATTGAAGGGAACTGCAAAAATATCCAAAAATTACATCATGTTCTATAATCTAAATAATACTGCATAGTACACTTACTATCATGTGGCACCCACCATGCCGTATAGGCAATACAACCCGCCAAAACATTAAACACCCCAGTCAATTGCCATTTACGCTTTGTTTTCAAAATAAGAAATAGACCAATAAAGGTGCCGATGATTTCTGAAATACCGGCTATCACAGTGTTAACTTCTAAATGTTCCCGGCTAAAGGAACGAATATTCAGCAGCATGCCATAGTAGACGACAATGTAGATGGACCAACACAAATGGACACATATCATGTGGCGTACCGCCTTTTCGCCCTTCCACAGTGACCACCAACCAGCTGGCGGTGGGGCATCCATGGCCGTCTGGGCCTGCAACTCTAATTGTTGATCGATGTCATGGGGAAGACTGTGGCGTGTGCCATTGTATTCGGCGCACTAGGGGATACGCAAGGGAATAAGTTTTGCAAAAATTCGAAATGAGGCATACTTACATCTATTAAAATTTGTTTGGCCTCCATAACTCTACCTCTAGCCACCATCCATCTGGGAGAATCGGGAATCCATCTGTAAAACAAACGAAAAATTCGTTTTCATTCAAAGAATTTTCAAAATATAATTTGTTCTGTGTAAAGTATAACGATCTCCCCTTACCTCCACAAGTAAATGAGTATCACAGTGGGCCATGAAATGGCCATATATAAATAAGTCCAACTATCGAAGAAACTTGCCACACCGGGCAACAATATAACTCCAATTGACCAGAACTGCTCAAACAAAGTGGAGACACAGGTTTTGTATGTTCCACCTGTAATATCGGCCACTGCAAAAGGGATACAAATTATGATATTGCACTTATTTCCTCTTTACATCGTGGTTTACTTACTTATCATTCCGCCCGCCGTGTACATTTGGGCACAACAAACAGCCGAGAGACAACGGAAGAAAACATGCAGCTCATAGGAGGAGACGTGACCCGTTAAATTGCCACACAATATTTGGGTTATCATGCCGAACAGCATTATATTTCGCGGACTGAAACTGTTTTCAAAAAAAGATGATTTTCAATTTCATTTGTATAAATTCAAGTAGATCTAATGGGGATACTCACTATTTCAGCAAATGATTTGCCAATATGCCGCCCGACAGCACCCCAAACAAATGGAAGAATTGCGTTACCGACACCAAAATATCACGCGAACACACCAAATCATATTGCGTTATAACCGAATGATATTCCGCCTCGTGTTGAAACTCCTTACAGGGAATAACGTCGGACTTTATCGATTCGGGCTCCAGCCAAACTTTCGGCTCATCCTCCTGATGGGCATAGTTAAAGTAATGATGAGCATGTTCCTGAGCATCTTTGTAGACATTACAAAAGTCGATGGCAAATTCTTGATCATGGGACTCTTCTTTTTGCGGATGTGAAACTTTGATCCAGGCCGTTTGATTTTTGGCGCCAATTGTGGGTGGTGGCTTACAAAAGAATTCACCGTGTCTGGGTGCCGGCGCCGTAAAAATAATACAAGCCATAAACCATGAGGAGGGGATTTTACATAAAAATATTAGCAGAACTGTGCGCAGCTGCCATCTACCCCATTCGCCGGTGACGCGACCCACTGCATCGACTTTGGTATCCATTTTACACGACTGCCGGGGTGCCTTACCTTCCAAATTGTAGAACGAATCCTTCGGATAGAGATTATAGTTGTGCGAATGTTTGCGTGAGGGAGATTTTGAATACAGTTGGCGGGAGTGTCTACGTGTATCGAGACTATAATTGGAATCGGTTCGGCTGCGAAATCTTCTAAGGTTGGGTTGGGAATTCCTTCGTCGACATTGTTCTTCGCTGATGCCCAACAGAGATTGAATCGGGTGGGTGATGCTTTCTATGCTAAGCTTTCGTCGGCTACCGCTACTGGGTAGCAAATTTGGTATGGAGAAACGTTTGCGACTCGGATACTGGGGTGAGGGTGTATAATCGGAGGGTGTGGCGGGTAATTCGGGTATTAATAAAGGTGATATGTTTCTTGAGGTATTAAATTGACCAGTTGTTGTAATAAGGGTGGGCGGGGTTACGGTTGGAGTGGTGGGTGATGGTGTGCTATTATTTGTTGCTGTTGTTGTGGTCGCCGTCGTCTGTTCGCGAACGAAATTCTCTCTGGGCGAAGGCAATAGAGGCGATTCAGCCTGAAAAGGATAAAAAAGTATTTTTTATTAGAATTTGTTATAAAAAAATGAATTTGATTGAGTACTATTATAAAAAAATTCCATCTTTGAATAAATGGGGATTCTATGTTAAATCTTCAATTTCAAGGTTATCTATTGAAATTCTATATAGAAACTTCAATTCACCCTGGCTGGATTGGATTTTGGGTAGTAAAACTTCTTTTCGTCTTAGCTGAATTGGGTTTTATATAAGAAACCTTTTGTTTAGACTTGCTGAATAAGATTTTCTGTAGAAAATCTTCAATTCAGCCTAGCCGAATTAGTTTTTTGTAAGAAAACTTTAATTTAGACTGCCTGAATTATGTTTTCTTTAGGAAAACTTCAAATCAGCCTGGCTGAATTAGGTTTTTCTGTAGAAAAACATCAATTCAGCCTGGCTGAATTAGGTTTTTCTTTAGTAAAACTTCAATTCAGCCTGGCTGCATTAGGTTTTCTTTAGGGAAACTTCAAATCAGCCTGGCTGAATTAGGGTTTTCTGTAGAAAAACATCAATTCAGTCCGGCTGAATTAGGTTTTCTGTAGGAAAACTTCAATTCATCCTGGCTGAATTAGGTTTTCTCTAGGAAAACTTCAATTCAGCGTGGCTGAATTAGGTTTTCTTTAAGAAAACATAAATTTTGACTGGCTGCATTAGGGTTCTCTAAGAAAACTTCAATTCAGCCTGGCTGAATTAGGTTTTCGCTAGGAAAATTTCAATTCAGTCTGGCTGAATTAGGTTTTCATAAAGGAAACTTCAATTCAATCTGGCTGAATTAGGTTTATTTTTGGAAAACATAAATTTTTTTCTGTAGTACTGGCTGCATTAGGTTTTCTGTTCAGGTTTGCTGAATTAGGTTTTCTGTGAGAAAACTTCAATTCAGCCTGTCTGAATAAGGGCTTTCTAAAGCAAAACTTTAAAAACCTCTTTTATTCATGGCTGCAAAAGGTTTTCGAAGTTTTTCTATAGGGAAACTTTGATTCAATTTGCCGAATTCGGTATTTTTTTTTAAGAAAACGCCAATTTGACATGGTTGACTTATATTCCATTTCAGTCCTTCCATTTTTTCTACGAAACTTTTTTTTCGCAAATTATATTACAAATAATCCACTGCGAGGTGGCTTGGCAAAGCTGCTGATTACGCAGTTTTGTGGTTTATTGTCTTAACTTGTTTTGGGATCCTTCAACAAAAACATGACTTGCACAAAATGTATTTTTATATTTTTGGTCTCTTTAAAGAAAGTGGATGAAACAACAGTGAGGCACGTACAAAATTAAGCACATTATGTGACTCTGGCAAAACAAAAGGAAATTTGTATTTTTTCTGCAAATTTTAAGGATGCTAATAATAAAAATCACTCATCATATGGAGGAGGAAGAATAACAATTAGGAATAAAACAATTAATTTGGAAAAGAAACCGGGGGAATAGAAGACTTCATCTTGGTGACAATTCCCTTCTGGGAATGGTAGACATGCCTACCCAAGTCAAGGTCATGATAACGTGGGACTTATATTCAAGAAGTTCATAGGAAAAATTCAACTAAATTAAAGAACAACATAATAAAAGAGAATAGCGAAATAGACAACACATTTATTTGTTTTAATTTCTTTAAATAAAATTCTAATGAAATATAGATGCGTATTTTCATTGAGTCCTTTGAACATGAGTGAGAAAATGATTGTGGGTGCTTCAAAGGAAAAATAATGTTATTAAAGAAATGTGCTTAAGAGCATTAGTGAAGCAAAGGAAACGTTTTTTTCTCAGAATAATTTTCTAAAAAATACTATAATTCGCCATATATCAATACGTAAATGCTCCAAATAGATTTAGGATTTTTTAGCAATAAAAATTGTTTTATTTTAGTTACTTGTTGAATGTCGTTGAATAACTAAGGCACTCTCTTACTAATCTATATATTTCTTAAGCATTATTTAACCCCCTTATTGACTGCTTAAACATTCCTTCAAATCGATGGAAATTCTTCCATTCACACATTGAATTAATAAACGAAAATTGATTCCATTTAAACTTTTTTGCAAACAAATAATTTATTTCATCAAAGTTGGAGGTTAACCAAAACAATTTTCTAATCAATGCCAAAGTTTCGAAAAAAGGATTACAATTTATTTTATTTTGTTTATTTATTTGTTTAGCTGTCTCTTGAGTTTAATAACTTCAAGAGCGGGATGACAATTCACAACAATCTTCCCACCAAACAATTTGTCAATACATTTGAATTTTGGTTCAAGGACATTGACATCCTTTCGTACTAAAAGAAATCTTGCAAAATATTTTCTGTCATAGTTTTATGATGTGGTGATTTCAGATTTGAATGGTGTTGTTGTTTTTCTTTCTATAATCAATTCAAAACAAAATTTCGATGCGTAAATAAAATATTGACTTTTATTTCAACTTCATGGACCTCATTTGCGAGGCAATCATCTACGAAGGCGAGAAGAAAACAATAAATGAGTCATGTCCATTAAAATCCAATGTGACCAATGCGAACTTTGTTAAATGCCGTGCGACAAATACACCGACTGCAGACATTGAGACTCACGAAGTTATAAAAAACAAATGCCCTTAAATAATTGACCAAGTCTAATGAACTTGGGCCAATGGAGTAAAGAAGTATTTCAATTTGCAGCAGACAGTAATAAAATAGCTGGGAATAATTTACCCAAGTAATTCAAATAGATTTTCGTTGAAAATATTCCATAAAAAAATTAAAAAAAGCTACTCTTATAGCCCTTTATAGACTTACAGTTCTGATAGAAAAAATATTAAAAACAATCCAGGTATATAGTAGGTCTTGACCTTGAAAAATATATAATTTTTTTATTATTTTAATTTATTATTCTTATTTGTTTTTCAATCTTCTTATTTAATTTTCAATTGCCCCATCAACAAAATACAATTTCTCAATAACCTCAAACAATTTGACAATGCTATTAAAATCGAGCACATGATCATATTATGACACTGGCTGAACCGTCATACCACATAATGGTCCCTGAGGTGACAATGGAGGATTACAAATTTTCTCCAGAAATTTATACACGGCCATGTTTACAAAACTACTTAGTGTGTCTGACATCTCGGTAAATATATTTCGAATTCGATTCAATAAAATTGCGATGTACGAGACGCCAATGAATGAATGATTGATTTTGTTGTTGTTATTGTTTTTCTGTGAGTTTTTGTTTATGAAAATGTTTTTTTTTTTTTGCCAAAATACCAACAACACGTGCAACAGGCGATAGGTTTTCACTTAGTATTAGCTTTTCTCTTTTGTTTCTTTTTTTTGCAATTTTCTGTGGGAGCCGCCTATTCATGAAAAATATATAAAAATAAATGGTATTGTTTCAAATTTATTACGAAAGAAAAAAAAATAAACACGACAGAATTATTATTTTTCAATTAAATGAATGTCAGCGCATTTAAATGAAATTATTTTCTCTTTTGTTCGCAGTAAAATGTCTGGTGAGAAATAATGTAGCCTTGACAATGACAACGACGGTAATGATGATAACCAGACAGACATACAGACAGCAGACCCACATATAAATGGGACAATAGTTGAAATGCAGACATATTCCATAACTCTTTCAGTTAAGGAGCTGTAGGTAGGAATATTTTACTCCATACACCTACTACTGCTCCCGTTTTCTCTCTTCCACTCTCTTCTATGATTCGCTAATTAAAATAATTACTAGTGTTTTTTTTTATTTTTTACCATTTCCCACGATTTCATTTCGTTGTCGTTCGCTTCTAATAATGAGTATCTGACTTAATTAGTAGCTACATTTTATTACGCTTTGAAATCGGTAATGAATAGATTGAACAAATATTGTTAATTGTAAAGACAATCAAATAAATATTTATTGGTGGGAAAGTGAGAGAAATTAAAGGATTATATAATAATTAGAAAACGTTTTCAAATAAGTGCATGTGATGTGAGAAATATGGTTGACCTGTTGGAAGGAAATTTAAAATAAAATTTGTTTTTAATTTGATGTTGCAATATATTGTTCAAAAATATGTTACATTCTTTAAATCCGATAGCCCTTAAAAAATATTCTTTTAAAAATCCACGCATATAGTTCCGATAGCCCCTAAAAAATATTCTTTTAAAAATCCACGCCTACAGATTCTGTTAAACATCCACGCTAATTTATGTGATAGTCCTTGAAAAAATATTTTTTTTTAAATCCATCGACTATACTCCTTAAAAATATATTCTTCTAAAAAAACATACTTATAGCTCTGATAGTCCTTGAAAAATATTCTTTTAAAAATCCACGCTTATAGTTCTGATAGTTCTTGAAAAATGTTCTTCTGAAAAACCACGTTTATAAGTCTGGAAGTCATTAAAAATATTATTTTAAAAATCTTCGCCTATGGCTGTGAAAGGCTATGAAAAATATTTTATTAAGAATTGCACGACCAAAGCTGCAATAGTCCTTGAAAAATATTTTATAAAGAATCTACGTTTATAGCTCTGATAGCCCATGAAAACATATGTTAAAACATTTTTCCATGTTAAGCATTTTAGGAAGAAGTTGCTTAACTATCAGTAACTCAGAATGCCGTATTACAGGTACTTCGGATGGAAGATAAGCTTGAGGTTATCAAAATACCTAAAAGGATACGAGACTTTTATATGGGGGCTATGAACAAATATATACCTATACATTTTCTTCAAAGACATTAGAGAAATATTATTTACCAAAAGATGAGTTCCAAAATATCTCTTGTCGTCCTAGTATTCTTCGGCCCTATTATTACCCAAAACTAATATCAATGTCAGTTGAGCGACAAAAAGATTGTTCAACTGACAACTGTCACTTAGCTTAGCATTCAGTCAATGGATGTATGTCTTCATCTTTCCCGCACTATATACGGGTAG